GTGTACCATGAAAACAATGAATCAATGATGGAGGCAATCGTGCCTTTCCAATGCCAATATACTTTAGAAAGGCCTCGCGGCAAAGGCGATGTCCTGGCACAAGCTACTGGGTTCAGGCAAATGTATTGAAATTCAACAATTACACTGATCCAACGTTACATTCAAAAGACCCGTCCTTCAATCTCCCACTTGTTCTTTCTTCCAGCTCCACACTGCAGGCTCCACAATACTGTATCTTGAGTACTTTTTGGCAGTCTCTAGAAGACCTTGCACACCTTGGCCAAGTCCCTAAGTGGAAGCTGGCAGCGGCAGGCACAAACTCCGTTGCGAAGTGCAGTTTTCATTCTGTTCAACGAAAGGCCCTCCTCTGCGTAAACAGAAATATTCCCCTCCTCCAAACTGGAGACCGCATGGAGAGACTCGAGCTGAATGGCCGTCAAAGATATTGTGCCAAGTCCTGTGGGCTGCTGATCATCTGACAGATCCTCAACATCTTCATAGCCATCAAGGGAGGATGCGCTAGAATCATCTGATGTAGAGCTGGTTGATGTGTCAGTAGACCTGGGTCAAGACATGAAGCCCAAAGCGCCTCACGAACCATGAAACCCTGAACACAAAACATGTTGGCCAAGAAACCCCGAGGTATCCTCATATCGGCCCAATCCCTTCACAAGCTCATCAGATGAGCCCGAATCGCTCTCATCCCAGCGCCCCAACTCTGGCATTCCGAGCTGAGCTTGAACAAGGATGCATATTGGAACAAAACATCACACTGCAACATGAATGCGCAAACCAATTTCACAATGCACACACTGCAACATGAATGTTGCTTGCTTGATAGCACAATCTTTTCAACCTCTTCAGTGTTCGAACAGCTATTTCTAATTGTTCTAATTTCCGGCCAGCATCCGCGATACCTTGCGCGGTGCAATCGCGGACAACAGTGCACATATTGCAGGCATAACTGCCCTCATTGACATTGCGTTCCCAGCAATTTCATGTTGTTCCTTAGATGATTCCAAATTGAATTCAAGAAGGAATGAAAATGCAAAACCTTCAGTGGCAACTTTTGCAAAGCATCTCGACTGCTGAGCATTGACGCGTTGTAGCGATGGATTGGAATGCCCATCAGTACAAGCATGTCCATCCCCACGAGGTACCGTCCCTTGCTCGTAGATAGGAAGCTTCCATTGGGCCTCAGCAACATTGAAGGTAGACGCCAATGCTATATAGTACACCACAGTCTTTTGACATGTGTTTTTCCTGAGCCACCAACGCGATGCACATCATTGGGTTCTTCTCATCAATGACTGGCAGCTGCGTGATGCTTTGGGAGGTGTTTGAAATGAAGTCAGTCTCATAACCAGAGGCCGCAATGAGATCCAATGCCTTCAGGGTTTCATAGCTAGAGGCAAAGGGAGAGACACAAGCGTTGAAATAGAACACCCTTGGAAAAAAAAGGGTCCTCCATCTCCCGGTAGGTGGTCGCCTGCTGCCTGTGGCCAGCGCTTTGCGAAGGCGCCCGTTGAAGCTTTGATTCCAACCTTTTGGGGCATGTTGAGGCACATGTTTGATCGTGTTTCTGGCAAACAGATGCAGTTTGGCCTTGCGCTCCTTCGCCCAAGCACGGTGTCGCTTGATCCATTTTCTTTTCCAGTCAACCTTCCTCAGCAATGAAGCTGATTAAGTTGAAGGCAAGCAGTTTTGTTTTAATGCAACTGCAAATGTTCATGGCAAGTTGTTCATGGTTCATGGCAAGTTTCTTGCTCATTGCAGAAGAACGCCGCAAGGACCTTGCCTTCTGATCGCGCCTGACATCGGGATGAGAGGCATTCAAGAGGTCCAGCCTTAGATGTGGGTCAGCACATGTCAGCACTATTGTTGGCAGTTGGCAGTGATAATACTTTCCTTTTAACTTTAGATGCATCTATGTGGCCAAGAACAATCAGCTTTGTGATGCATTTTCTTCAGCTGATTCTGGAGGAATTCACCAATATCCTGGCTCATGGCCTCTTCGGTCATCAGCTCCTTCCGGATAAGGAATATGTAAATCCTTCTCCGAGAGATCGGGGCCCCAAAGCGTATCCTTAGAACCCACATCGACATATACTTAATGCAAGTCAGTTGCGAGCAAAGGTGCAATGAAGTTTGTAGAGCTGGCAAGTTGCGGATTGATGACCACCCCCTGGATCGCATACCGGAATGGTAGTAGAAGAGGTGAAGTGAAGGAAAGGTAACTGGAAAGGCAATAGGATTGAAGGATTGTATAAGTAGTATAAATCGCAAGCCAAGAGACTCCGGCAAGTTCCGGTGCATGATGTCAAAGACCATGTCGATGACACGGGCAAAGCCCATCACATTCTCCAACAGTCCCACCTTGGATCATTTGGAAATGAGCACTGCAAACTTCTCATTTCAAGACTGTGAATTGTTAAGTAGGACTTGCGTTAGGGTATAACTTGTTCAAGTGTCGGCTGGTTGGATATCCTTGATGTTGGCTATGGTCTTGAGCAGATGCTTGGCGCTGCCATCTTTAAGAAGACGGGTGTGGACATTCAACAGGCTGTAGGGAGTGCAGGGAAATCCAGCGGTGTAGCGTAGGACCTCCACATGTTCAAATCTGACTATGTTTTTCCACAGTGGGACAACTCAACCCCAGTGCCTTACCATGGAGCCACTTCACATCTTTTTTAAATATGTTGTTGGATAGCCTCAGTGGAAGACTGTGACAACTTGCTGCATGCACTTCTTGCCATAATAGTGAAGCAAAGAGGCTGGTGGCAGTTGAAGTTCTTCTTCAAGAAACGGAAGGGGGCGCGCTTGATCTCGCTGGCGGACCTCATTTGCACAGATCATTTTTAAACATGGGTGGGGTGTGACATGGCAAAGCCTTCTTAAAGAGAGTTTTGAGTTTCAGACATGTATTCCAAAGAAGCCTTCTTGCCAGCAGCCTCCAAAAGTAGTTGAAGGGCCATAAATGGCGTGTCAACCCCGCTGCCTCAGAGTCTTTGTGGAAAAACGGGGTGGCAAGAGATGGAAAAAAGGAGTTGCATGGAGTTGCATTGGCCAAGTTTTGCCAAGGGACAGTCGCTGGCAAATGTAAATTTGCCTTCAAACGCCCCAAACCATCCTTCCAGTCCAGCTTTCTGCCAGAAAGTGGGCCCAATCTCCAGATAGTCCATTTGGAGTGGACTCAAAGGCTCATCGCCATCATCCGACTCTGACTCGGTGGACGAGGTCGAGTCAGAGTCGGATTCACTTTCCGACCACCTTCTTTTCATCTTTGAGCCAAGAAGGGGCTAAGTTCAGTGGTGGGATACAAAGACCCAGATTGGAAATGGAAAAGACTCAGTTGCAAGTGGACTGGATTTGTAGTAGCCGGTCATTCAAACTTACTCATAATGGGCTGTGGGTCAGATGTGGCAGGGTGAACTTTCGCCAATCTTGAGCTGAACTTTCGCCAAACTTTCGCCTTTTGCGGGTAGAGTTTTGTGGCAAAGCCGCCCCCCCCCCCTACCACACCTACCCCCACCTGCACTGCAAACACCCCTCCCGACCCCAAGCCCCTCTTCCCTCCACTCCTTGCTTGCTTCCCTGTTCCTCCTTTCCCCTTCCCCGCCCCATGGCATGGGTGGGCCCCTGGCCGTTTTGGGCGTGAGCCCTTAAATATGCAAATGTATACCTTTTACTTTAACTGACCCGATGCTGAAGAGCAAAATTCGGTCCAGCTTGTGGTCGGAATCATATTGCTGCGCTGTACCACCTTTGTTGTCAGATTTGCACTTCGTTATGAACTGCAATGAGCTTCAGGCGTGGCATTGACACATTGCTCGGATCCAAACGTTGGCCAAGCGATCGCTTCTTTGGTGTCGCCAACGCTTGCAGCCTTCACAGTTGGTAACAGTTTGTAGGTATGATTGCTTCTATTGTTTGCGAGCAAAACAGCGGCAGTAATATAATTACTATGAACAAGCTGCACCTGCACCAAGCTGCTTTGACACTGATGTGCTTGGGTTCATGGGAGGAGATGCTGGCATCAAACTTGAGGGGGTGGCCAACGGACAAAGCAGGCAATCTAGCCCACTGCTGCGTTATCAGATAGCCGATAGTAGTGGCAGGGTTGCTTTGGTGGTTGTGGGTACAGTATTGGGGGCACATGCCAATTGCACACTCTGAGCTTCTGGTCTTTTTCTCCACATGTTGATGTTAGAGTCATGCTTGAAACAAAAACAGTGTGCAGCAGCGTAAAGGGTATCGCTACAAAATCATACTTTTTATTACAGTGGCTATTTCAAACTTTGTAAAGGGAATATACAGCTTGAAACCATGTTATGGCTCGAAATATTATCCTTCTTATCTTATACTGATTGGAAGACTTATATATGTCCGCATCTAAAACCGCAAATGTTGGAATGTGTAGGAAATTCAAGCGGTGCAATTCTTTTCACAAGAAGTTTGTGGTGTCTGCTGTTGTTCATTCCTAACTATCAGAAGAGCGATCCAAGATATTCATACGCATAGTTCGCGGTAGCTTTGATATCCTTTCACACAGTGGCTTGAGGCCGCGGCGTTCTAGGTGGTGCCGCCAATGGCACGTCATCATCATCGGTATGTCCCCACAGCTGAGAAGGATTTCGCACCTACAAGCAGTGAACACATCTGCTGTTGCTCTGCCGCACTCAAACGCTCTTTTGGTCTCCCTTGACCTCGCTTGGTCTCACAGAACACACATTACAGCCTCATCCTGGCAAAGTGCCCACATTCTCTGCGAGGCTTGCGCTGACACACGCCATCAAAAAGGCCACATGTTACTAACTGCTCTTGTACCATTAAGATTGAACTTTCGTTCTTTGAAGAGGGGTTGCAGGATATCATGTTTGTTATTACTTTTCAAGTTTGGTTGTGCTTCTTTTCTGTGCAAACTACAAACAAGGTTCAAGTTCATGGGGAGGGATCAATATCTGTTACTCTAACCTTGCCCGGCTTTCTCTGTGAGAGTTGCGAGTGAAGAAGTCTTCCTTGAGTGCTTGACAAGGGCAGGTGATTCACGTGGGAAAGCATCTCTGGATTGTGACAAATGCACAAAGGGGTAAAGTTATGCACTCATCCGATTTTCAATTCCAAGATTGCCTCCAAACTTCGCGAGTGTTTTCTCTTGTGTGTGAGTGGCAAGTCTTCACTAGCCTCAACTGACAGTGGAGAGAAGCATTTTGACGATAGCATCTGGTGAAACAGCCCAAAGGCTGCCTGCACAACAGAGCAAAAAGGCCAAACTCAAAGCCAGCACATGCAGTAGCACAGTGTGCTCCCGCAGATGGACTACGGCCTCATGGTGAAGCACGGCGTCCCAAATGCAGTGGCCTCACGCTTGTCTCCCACAGAACTGATTCAACTGAAGAAAGCGCAGAACATTCTCGCCAAGGGGCTAGTTGGGGTTCCTTGAAGCAAAGTTAGGGAAAGATTTGGACTCCAGGCATGCACTGTCGCTTCAATGCCTCCAAAGGATACTGGGTGTTTAAAAAATCCAAAAGCAATCAAAGGATTATTTTATCTTCTTTCATAAGGCATAGAAGACAACAGGCAGTCGTAATGTAATGGTGCTGGCCTTTTTCATCCACGCAGATTTCATGCTCAGATGCTGTCCTCGCACCGATTCGAACACATAATCACAGGAGTGCACGCATAGGCTAGGCTAGGGCGCTTCAGACTAAGTCAATGCGATGTAATGTGACATTTTGCGGTTTAAGTATCGTCGAATGGCCGCGTTGGTCTGCCAACCACCACAGGTCTCGCCATGAAACTGCACGGGAGTCTTCCTAAATGCAATTGGTGTACTGTTCTCTGATCCCTGTCGTGAAACAGAAGCGCTACTTGACGGAGGAGCAAAGAACAAGGCCTTCCCAGCATAGGACCACAGTGGAAGCCTTGACCAAAACCGCAATCTTCCACAGCAAGCGCCCACCAGCCTTTGTACACCTCTGCATCTGGCACAAGATCTCCACCTGTCCAAGTGGCGTAACGGACGGAAGTGGATTTTGTCTATACTTCTTCCGCTTGAACATAAGAAGTGGTTGTGGATCGCTTGAATACCTCACTCCACCACTGGCCTGGTGATCCCACGCACCATCCTCCCATGCACAGCGGGCAGCCATAGGCGCCACAGAAGCCAGGTGCGACCCAAAACGACTTGCAAGTCCCCATGCTGCTTGCCCTCCCATAGAATAGCCAGTAACATGAAGTCGTGCAGGATCAACCCCTCAGCCCGAGCTGAAGATCTTCCTTTATATAGTATCACAATCACATATGTATACAATGTGTACATTGTAATTATGTATACATACGTGTGTGTATATATAGTAAACCCGTCTGGATATGTATATATATAAAGATGCACGGACTGCTTCTTTTGTCCACTTCGCAGCGATTTTGTCAGTAAAATAGATAAATGGGGAACACAGCGGACCGAACACACTGAAACCCTAGAT